TTCATATGCATTTAGTAACAAGCTTTTATTTTAACATTACAAACAGACACTTCAATTTTATTTATTTGTATAGATGTATAGATTATGCGTGCGACGCTTTTATCTAGGCGTTTGAGGTAAAAATTTGATTATAAATGAATTTGTGCTTTTCTTAGGGTATTTAAAGTGCAAAAATATAAATCGTTCAACGAGTCCTGATTCGCCGGGAAAATAAATGTGTTCTATCTCAATACTTCCAGTACTCTCAAAAATATTTGAAAAAGTTCTATACAATAGTCTGAACAACTATCTAACATTGGTTGAGTTCATTAATACCAAACAATACGGCTTTCGCTGCAAATCAAATACTCTTTCGGCCTGTATAGACTTAGTCACCAACCTAAAAAGCAATATAGGTAAAAAGCAAATAGCTCTTGAAGTCTTTATCGGTTTCAAAAAAGCTTTTGATACCATAAGCCATAAATTACTTCTGAACAAATTATTTAATATCGGTATTAAAGGAACTGCGCCTGTATGCTTCAGTCATACCTCTCTGATAGGCACCAGATTGTTAAAATTCTCAATACTCACAGTACAAAGTATCACTTACGGTGTACCACAGGGCTCTATTCTTAGGCCTCTTCTATTTATCATCCACATAAACAATATTCATGAACTAGGTTTACTGGTGATGTTACATTATACGCTGACGATACTAGTCTCTTTTACTTTGGTGATAATATACAAACAATTTAAAAAAGCTCAGAATGACCTAAATATGCTAACTACATGGTTTCAGTACAATCTGTTAACTATAAACGTATCCAAGACCAATCATATGATTTTCAGCGCCAAGAAAAAGAAAATTTTTGACTGCCCAATGCTATACATCAACAGTGAACCGCTTTCGAGGGTAGCATCTGAAAAATATCTCGGACTTATTCTTGACAGTCAAATTACTTGGAAGCCTCACATAGAGAAAATCGAATCAAAAATTTCTGCCCTTATAGGTAGGCTTCGGCATACTCTTCGTTGTTTTCCAAAATCTTTCTGCTACACTATATATAACTCCTTGATCAAATCTCATCTATGCTATCTAATAGAGCTCTGGGGCAAAAAAAAAGTGCAAAACAATTGCAAATATTCCAAAATAAAATAATTTTAATGTTATTACACTTCAACCATCTAACACCGACAAACATAATAATAATAATAATAATAATAATATTTAGTATAGAGTGCTGGCCACAAAAAAGTTTATTGAATTCGAATTTCGAATTGTTTATGAAAATAAAACTGCAAACTTTTTAGAATTTTACTCATTTTTAAATATGGAGTGGACGCTTAAAGAAGACCGTGTTGCAGTTATTGCGTTGCATCGTTGCGGTTACGCGCCAATTCAAAATTTTGACATACTGAAAAATTTGAATATAACCAAAAGATTCGTTTATCGTACCATCAAACGATACAATGAAGACACTAGTGTAGATGACCGGTCAAGAAGTGGTCGCCCTCGGTCTGTTAGGACTCCAGCAGTGATAAAAGCTGTGAAGGCGCGAATTCAAAGAAATCCCAAACGTAAGCAGAAACTGTTGGCCCTTCAGATGGGGTTAAGCAGAACCACGTTGAAAAGGGTGTTAAATGAAAAGTTAGGGCTTCCGGCATATCGAAGAAAAACAGGACATCGTTTGAATGCTCGTCTAATGGACCTGAGGCTGAAGAGATGCCGCGCTTTGTTGAAGCGGTACGCGGGAAAAAAATATCAGGACATTCTTTTTTCGGATGAAAAAATTTTTACCGTAGAAGAGAGCTACAACAAACAAAATGATAAGGTGTACGCACACAGTAGTGAAGAAGCGAGCAACCGTATTCCGCGTGTCCAACGAGGTCATTTTCCATCCTCGCTCATGGTATGGTTGGGAATTCTTATTGGGGCTTAACAGAGGTACATTTTTGTGAGAAAGGTGTAAAACGAATGCAGTTGTGTATGAAAATACAGTCCTGACGAACCTTGTGGAACCTGTTTTTCATACCATGTTCAAAACAGGCACTGGGTATTCCAACAAGATTCGGCGCCAGCTCATAGAGCGAAGAGCACACAAGACTGGCTGGCGGCGCGGGAAATCGACTTCATCCGGCACGAAGACTGGCCCTCCTCCAGTCCAGATTTGAATCCGTTAGATTACAAGATATGGCAACACTTGGAGGAAAAGGCGTGCTCAAAGCCTCATCCCAATTTGAAGTCACTCAAGACATCCTTGATTAAGGCAGCCGCCGATATTGACATGGACCTCATTTGTGCTGCGATAAACGACTGGCCGCGCAGATTGAAGGCCTGTATTCAAAATCACGGAGGTCATTTTGAATAAACTTTAGTGTCATAAGAATCTATGTTTTGTTAAGTTCATTTTGGTATATAAATGGTTACATAATGAATAAACTTGTTTCAATTATTTTATATTAAACATGTGACAGAATTTATGACTTGACTAGGTATATATGTATAATAAAACTGGCCTAATGACATTAGCACAAATGTATAAATACAATACGTGTTCTTATACGAAAATTTCTGAAAAAAAACTATACATACACAAATAAAATTCACAAAGTAGGTGCAAATTCAACGATATTTAATGAGAAGTGATAACAATATATGCTTAGGCACCACGTACTAATTACGGAAGAAAAAATATCAAATATGAAGGGGCTCAACTATATAATAATCTACCAAACGATATAAAAGGAACCCAATCCCTATCATTATTCAAGAATTTGAAATACCATATCTTAAAAACTGTTACGTACATAGATAGTTAGATAAATAAAAAACATTATATATATATATATATATATATATATATATATATATATATATATATAATACAAACTTTTGTACGATACATCAATAATATAATCTAATATAATATTCAGGGTAACTTTATATATTTGATTACAATAAAATCTTGTTAATTATGATTATCTGAAACTGTGCAAAATATCCATTAATGTTTAACTTTAGACATTCAATAAATTAAATAAATAAAAAGAGGGCCATAAGAGCAATTTATGATTTAAAACCTAAAGAGTCGCTGCGACAAAAATTTAAGGAAATTAATATATTAGCTTTGGCCTCTCAATACATTTATGAAAATGTAATGTACGTACACAAAAATAAAAGTAGTTTTACAAAAATAAGTGATATTCATTCTGTAAATACTAGGAACAGACACAAGCTAGTAGTACCAGTTACTCGACTCCATCGAGTCAGTAATTCATTCTTGGGACGATGTATAAGCTTTTACAACAAAATTCCAGAACATATACAAAGTTTGACCTGCTCAAAGTTCAAAAACTTTATTAAACTAAGTTTGTATCAAAAGGGTAATTATAATATTAAGGAATTTATGGATGATAATAACCCCTGGAAATAAGGTGATCGTTACCAAGCTATTTCTAATTTGTTGTGTTGTTAATTTGTGTAACATCATGATTGTAAGCTGTTATTTTTTTTAAAAAGTCCCGCTGGGTTTCTTGCTGATTCTTCCCAGGACAGAGGTTTTTTTCCGGACCAGTGGTAATCAAACAAAAGAGGGACTTTCAATAAGTATTATTTATAATCTATATTGAATAAAAAAAATTCTGTTTCTGTTTCAAATGTAGATACAATAAAAAAAAAGCTTAATACAACATATTAATAATATAATCAAGTCTTTTTTTATATAGGAGAGGGAACAAACGAGCATGCGGCCACCTGATGGTATGTGACTACCTCCGCCCATGAACAACTGCAACACCAGGGGAACCAGGGAAATTGCAGATGCGTTGCCGGCATTTTAAAAAGGAGTAAATCTAAGAGTAATGATATAATATAATGTTATTTCATAATTTCTTTTCTAGGTAATTAATAATTTTACATATTATAATAATATCTAATTTAATATTTCAGATAAATTAATACTTTTAAATACAATAATATGAATAATCTAAATATGTAAATAATATATCAAACTATGTACGCAACATAATAATTCTTAACTTTACGGATTCAATAATTAAGTTTTAAATCCAGTATAATCTAAATATAAATAAGATCGTCTAAAATTGCATGCACAAAAAAATAAATCTTAATATTTTATACATACATTATTTACTAATCATATGCATAGATAGAAATTTACAATAGCAACAGATGTGCAACGATTTTTGACATGTAATATGTTTTGAATTTGTCGCTGTAATTTTCAACTTACCCACATTTTTATTTTATGTTAATCTGAATTTGAAACGTAATTGTCGATGTTCTTACAATAATGCATAGAGTAATATATACGGGAACAATAATGATTACTCAATGATAAAATAATATCGCTCTAGCATTTGTTCAGATGTAAACGTATCTATATTTACGTCAATCTTGTGTTTCTCAGAGGAATTAATGTTTTATTCGTATGAGAAATAAATTTCTTAAACCAAAAACCAGAAGATCGTTGATATATTGTGCATAGAATAGTGGAACGTCCGCATACATATGGTGTAAGTAGTCGATAAGTGAGGTGATAGAGCTTAACGAAAAGAAAAATGTAAGGCGACTCGGTAGATCAGTGGACAGTAACTAAGCACTCCAGACTGCAGGTTCATATCCTGAAAGAAACAAGTATTAATCATGCACTTGAATGATATTGTGACAAACAATACTAAGCACGTCATGTATTGTATAAAACTCATACACGAATAAAGGTAGTTGCAATGATTTAATTGATAATCAATTTAGATTATGGAATGTCGTAAAGACCACTTGCTGGCCTGTGAGCTCCATCTCAAATTATTTACGCACTCTTATAACAAAACTCGCGGAAGCCGTGGTCGAACAACTTATAGGAACGCTCGGGGACGTCCTGTTTACATGCAGAAATACAATAGTGATTGACGATTACTTGCCAGAAATAAGTGCCAATAAAAATATAAAACAAAGCTACTTCATTTTAATTATAGTAATGCCTTACTATATTTGTTTTCAGACAAACATGTTCGCCAAACAACATTGGACAAACTATGGAACAAGCAGTCGGGTTCCGTACAGACCCTCATCTCGATTTTAGAAGTAAGTGAAATTATTTTATAACTTTAATAAGCTTAATTACTGTTTGCTTATTTTCTTAACGGTTACAGAATACCAGAGATACACCCACATCTACTTATATTACATCGATATTAAGAGAAACCTTATGTCTGAAACAAGGAAAGGGAAAGAAAAATTCAGGTAAATAAAAAATATTCATTAACTTGAAGAACTACGTTGCTAACGTACAAATTACAAGAAAAATATACATTATGTGGTTATGATTAATACTATTTTTGGTCCAATCCAAAAAATACCAAATACATATTTGGTCATCAAATTGTTTAAATACATTCATAACTCATAAGCTTTAATTTTTTTTATTACACGGACAAATAGTCGCAATAGAAATACAAGAAATAAAGAAGCAATAAATTAAAAAGAACGGAAAAGAAAATAAACCACCATTTGTAAAAAGGGGTACGTTCACGACTACTGTGACCATTTAACCGGTTTACTAATGAAACGTTTGTTTATTCCGTTTCTCATTATTTACTTACAATATGTTTCCTTTTTACTGAAAAATCATGTCCAATATGGTCTTTATTATCCTTTAGTATATAGTTATACGTACGATCATTTTTAATTCCCACCTTAGACACCCTGATTACCTTACCAAACGTCCTTTCTCCTTGTATTTCTCTGTTTGAACAAGTGACATTTGGACACACGCTTGCAGCGATTGCTTCACTCGACCTTGTTACAGTGATGAATGTGTGACATGTCTTCTTAACTGGCGTATAACAAATTAACATTCTCATATACACAGCATTACAAAAATGGCTCGGACACTTTCGTCTAATACGATTTTTGGCGTGTCTGTTTTACTCACTGGCATTTATTTACTTATTTTGTGACACATTGCCTACACATATATGTAACTTTACCTTTATTGGACGAGATGCAATATTATAGTCTTAAAAATGTAATTTAGGTTTAATTATATTAACAGTTGCTTTGATAATATATATCTGTCGTTTATTAAACCCCACGTTCTTAGTGGCTTTAGTTTTATCCTTCGTATATGTTTACAATTGTTTTTTTTGATTTTAATGTGTGATTGTTTTAACCAATGTAACAACGCATAACTTTCTTCTATTGAAGATAAAATTTTATAAAATTATTTAACTTTTTAGTAAATAATACCGCCCGACAACAATGTTCGCAAAATTTCATTGCCATGAATGGGACTCAAGTAATGCTCCGAACGTTGGTCACCACTCATGCCAAACGTGACAGCAACGTGGGCACCGAGCTCATGCTTCAGGATCTGGTATGGATTATTGCGACGCTAGCACCTAAAGGTAAACACTACAGTTATAAATAAATACAAAAAGAACACTTTTCAAATTAGAAATACGGATGTATGCATAGATAATGTGCTGTGTCGTGGTGGTTTTGTGCGTAGTAGGCATAATAGCCCGCTGTGTCTAATCCATAGATAAATATATATGTAGCAAGCTAGTCTAATCCCCGTGACTCGAAAAGCACATCAAGCCGTCGTTCCTGCACCTGATTTCTTTTTGATTTGCCATTCATCAGACTAAAATATTGAGGGAATAGAGAATACACTTGTGTATGCTCGAAATCGTTTCACTTTTGTTTATTCTCCAGATGTACCATGTAGTTCAAATACTAGAACACTTTGAATAAAACTACTTTTACGGATTCTATCGCGCTTAATTAACTTATTTTTATTAAGTTCCAATGTCACGAGGGATTGATGTGATTGGCGTCCCGATGTCAGAGTTAATCCGGAATACTTTCAGCTTTAATTATAAATTTTGATCCGATCTACGCAGAATGAACTTACTATGTCTTGAAGTCTTGCAGTGGTATGCTTGGGTTTAGTTTTAATTTTATTAATTACAGGATCCCAAGCAAGTGGTAGTACCCAGCTTTCCTCTCTATTGAAATTAGGATGTTTTTTTAATTTCAATAGCCTCATATATCGTCCTTGGCAGGAATCGATGTTCATTCGCAAGAATTTGTGGTTTATCAAATATAATGTAATGGCGAGAGCTATCTAGGATATGCTCACAAACTGCAGATTTCTCGGAACGTTGGTGTTTCACGTCAGCTATGTGTTCTTTTATGCGGGTTTTGATAGATCGTTTCTTTTGCCCCTATATATGAGAGACAACATTCACAATCAAGCTTGTACACTCCTGCATCTTGTAGATAAGAACTGACTAATATTATTCGGCGGCTTGAAAAATGTTTTAATAGAAGCTTGCTTCAAGATGTAGCCAATCTTGTCTGTGACACCTCTGACATATGGTAGTACAGTAGGTACACGCTCGACTGTGGCCGGCTTCACTCGGTCACTGTGACGTAGGCGCGGGACCAGAAGCTTGTTTCGTGCAAAACTTGCTTGACTTATTCAATGTGTAGTGTTCGTGTAAATATAAGAAACCACTATACTATAACACTGTTAAACATTTCCGCCTTCAATTCCAATCTCTATTCTCATAATTTCTGTAAATGCAGTACGATTGTGGAATTCACTTCCCTCTTCGGATGCGTGATACTAAAACGATGTCTATTTACGTAAACGGTATCTACATATGTATACAAAAGTGAAAACTTGGACTACTTCTATTTTGTCCCACTAAGGATAGTCCTGCTGGAGGAAATTTCTACATGGAATTAGCGGTGCCTTTGTACATGTAGGTATTCTCTCGCTCCACAGAAGAACAGCGATAGCAGCTTGATGCTGCTGTTTCGTTTGATGAGTGTAGACAACCAAAGACCCTTTTTACTAGAAACGAGGCATTTTATCTTAGTCAGGGTTGATATGGCATTTCTGTATTTGATTCGATTGCGAGGATAGATGTAGATGTCTTGGTGCCGCCGCATTCATTTACCATCAGGCGGACTGTGTGTTCACTTGCCTCTCTTAATCTTTAATATACAAATTATTTCAAATATTAAATCATAATTAAATTTTATTTCAGATCCCAAGTTCGCTATAAAAGCTAAATTAGTAGGATGTGTGAGGACAATGCATCTTATATTCAAAGGGCATTACACTGACAACAAACTGATTTTTCCACTCCTCGTAATTATAAAACAACTTGCGAAAAATGGTATGTAATATCTACTTATGTATAACATTAAATTTGACTGTGTGTGTAAAGTTTCTAGAATACAATAACTTGTTATTTATGTTCCTTCCACCTATTTATGTATTTTTTAATGTATTTATTTAATATTGATTGAACCTTATAAAACAGTGCTGGATCAAATGGAGGAAAAAAATTAATGCTAAAAGCATTTATTCCAGTCAATCTTAGGCCAATGATAATACAACGGAGGTGGATACTAAGATCAGGAAATATAACAAAAGTATTCATATACACACATATCTAAACAATACATAAACATTAGTATTTCATTATTTTATATAAATATATACATACTTATAAAAATATATTCAAATACACAAATATATTATATAATATAAGATACATATATACTGATTAAACGAAACTTATTCCGAGAAAGAATTTATTCCGACTTAGAAATAAAATAATGCAAATTCTCACGCAATTCAATGTTAATATTACAGTGGTAACAACGTCTATTCTGATTCGGGACGGCGTTACCGCTACGTATGAGCGAGTGCTGGTGAGCCTCGGCTACATCCCCACCGCGAGGCTTCGTCTTTGTCTCGACGCCATCGACTACTTCAGCAGAAACAGTAAGAATCGCATTTGCCAATCAGAATAAGAAATAAACAATTTAATTTGATTTAATCCCAATTGAGATATACCATCTCATGATGAATGGTCATTATGATATGGTATATAAAAATGCATGTATAACAGTTTTTACTGTTTTATTTATAAATTTATTAATAAATGGTTTAGTAAAAGTTCACTGCTGAACATAGACTTCCCAATAGATTGCCTCCTAGAGGAGATTTTTCCATAGTTATCACGCTTGGCAGCCGAGTTGGTAACCGCAATTTTTTATAGATTTGACATGCTATCAGGAAGTTGATGATGTACATCTCCTGTTACAGATTTTATGTGTAGGCTCTTAGGACCACATTGGACTATATGGAGTAGTGGATATTCTTACACCGTCAATACAATAAATACTGCCTCCTTGAGTAGAAAAAGCACATCTGCATCTTTTCTCAAAATGACTTGCGTGTGGCCTATTTTCGGGAGTATTAAAAAATTGTGGGGTGCAATATTAAACGGTGCACATTTGTTAGAATTAATGGTGTCAGAAAAAGTTAATCTTCAAGTGCTTTAGGATTAAATATTAAAGATAATAAACAGCATTTACCTTTTTTTTTCTTGGCCTCCAAAATATACTCCTATATAACTTGATTTCAAAAAATGTACGTGTCTTTTTTCTTATTAGAACAGACGTCAGTATAAGAAATCATTTTAATTATTTTTTAAATCTTTATTGATTATAAAGGGTTTGATCCATTAGGTCATGTCACCCTCATAGGTACCCAATCTTACTTACTTATCTTCACGCACAATCCCTCACGGGGTAGCCATAGAGAACAGATCGCCAAGTGTCACGATCCTTACATACCTCACTACGCCTTGCCTTTTGACTAACGCAGTCAGGGCACCATTGACTTTGTTCCCGGCAGCGACACGCCTGTCCACATCTAAATCACATCTTCCATCCCGGCTGAAAGCACTCCCCAAGTATACAATTTTATTTACCTGTTCTAGACATTCCTGATTTACCCATATTTCATGCTTCGTTCTCTCTTCGTCCCTTTCAAATACCAGAACCTTAGTTTTATTAGCATTCAAACGGAGACCTTTAATTTCACATTCCTCTTTCATACACGTGACTAATGCCTGCAGTTCTGCCTTTGATGGTGCAATAAGCACTGCATCATCAGCACACAGCAGACAATTTACTTTAATGTCACCCAATTTGACACCCAAACGGCTATCTTTCAGCTTCTGTAAACAGCTATCGAGATACAGTATAAACAGCCAGGAAGACATGACACAACCTTGTTTTACGCCCGTTTGGACGCTAAACATGGGTGACAGGTCATGCCCTACCTGCACACAGGCTTTACAGTCACAGTAAAGAGACTGCACAGCCCTTAGCAATCGACCATCCACACCATACCCCGGCAACAGTTCTCACATTTTCTTCCTTACAACCTTATCAAATGCTTTCTCAAGATCCACAAAAGCACAGAAAATCCTCTGGTTAGCAGCCAGAAGCTTCTCCGTGATCATGCGGAGAGAAAACATTTGATACGTGCATCCTCTTCCAGGTCTAAATCCGCATTGTGCCTCCCATAGAAATCTTTCCGATTTCTCTTGGATCCTACGTGTCAAAACCTTCGAGTAAACTTTACTTGCTAAACTGGTCAAGCTGATCGCCCGATAGCACCCGCAGTCAAAATGTGAACCTTTACCTTTATATAAAGGCACAATGACTGCGGATCGGCAATCATCCGGGACATCCCCCGTCCGCCAGCACAAATTGCACAGTAGATGAAAGCTGTCCCAGACGCGAGGCCCACCATACTTGACCATTTCAGCAGTAACTCTGTCTAGTCCCGTAGCCTTACCACATTTCAAACTTCGAACCGCACGTTCAATTTCTTTCATATTGATGACCTCAGTGTTATCGAGGTCCGGGTCTGGCGTACCAGTCACGGCGTCACCCTCGGACCCCTCACTTTCACTCACCTCAAAATTCGCTCCATCGCTGCATGACGTCCGATTTTTTTGAGAGGACGTCATTGGTTCTCAAAAGCACTTTGTTCATTTTTAAGGCCGTCGCACTACTTCGGGTCCTTCCAACCTCTTTCCAGAAGAGTTTGGAGTTCTCCTTAAAGTTGTGCGACAACCTTTCGTCCGCTTCTATTCTATACCTTTCACGCACTTCATTGTACACTTGTACTCAATCAAATACACATAATCAGACAATGATAAATTTACGTAAACAATAATAAAAAATTATCTGTTCTTATTACCTAACAATACTAATTTATAAAGTTTTCTAGCCTTATCCGACAATGGAAAAGCTAAGATACTATTATACAATCCAACAATATTTTTGTCAAAACCTAATAGATTTCTATATGATTCGTTCCGTTCACATTCCATCATAATATGAATAGTATCTTCCAGAACTCCACATTTGACACAAACTAAGTTATGAGCTCGTTTTCTGCCCAGTAGTCTGTCTGAGTAAGTACCACCCTTGCTTTGTTCTGAGAGGTATAAAGAGATATCATTTTATCTTAGTCTTCAGAAGTGGCAACGCGTCCTTGGCCTACTTCGCTTGAAGTTGGCTGCAGTTGTCCAAGGACTGCAGTAGCCACTTACTATAAGGGGTCTTTTCTCGTAGGTTTTGTTATTTCAGCTTTTTAAAATAGTTGCTTTATAGAAAAATAAAATTTTGGAAATAAATGAGGCGTAAGAATAAAAAATGTGTCTTGAGCATTAGATCCTAAAACTATGTACAGTACGCGACAGGTCGACATGGCAATTTTCTGGTGATGTGGCATCACGTACCAGGTAGTTTATATCGATTTTTTTTGTAACGCAACAAAATAAGAGTAAAATTTATTAAATATGGTTTATTATAAATAAAGTGAAGAAATATTTTATAATTCATATCAACGGGTCTGTATTGTTCTATAATTTCAAACAAATCTAGTTTCCTCATTGACTTGTCGTAAGAAATGTTATTGTCTTCCAACCATTTCATCATTGCAGATTTTAGCGAACTTTTTGTTTGGGGTTTATTTAGCTAGGCACTATGGTAGTATGCGTTGTCCATTACTACAACACTGTGGTCAGGAAATGAAGGCAGAAGCTTTTCGACTAGCAATTTCTCAAAAAATTCTCACCATTCATTTGTCCATGATAGTACCGACCTTAAATACTAAATAAGCCCCCGGTAGAAATCCGTGTTTGCCTCCTGCGCTGACAACTATGAGTCTATTTCCAGAACTAGTATCTGTGAATTATCGTGCCCACGTTTCATCTAAATAAAAAATATTTCTGTTGTATTGTCGGAATTCCCTACTTTTCTTTAAACCTTTGAAAAATATATCAGGATTTTCAATTAAAACAGATCGCTTGGTTTGACACTGATGCCACCTCTAGCCAATTTTATTCAACAGCCGTTGTAACGTACGAACACCTCAAGGAAAAGCTATTTTTTCGCCTAACGCAACAAGTAACTTGGGATATGTCGGAACGATTTTTTTTTTTTGGTAAGTAAAATTCTGTTACAGTGTTATAAATCACTGTATGATCATAATTTTCTACACAATATTTTGGCCTGTCGTCTTCCGTTTTGTGGGCGATTTTAATTGTTTAACGGGTCCTGCTTATTTTTTATGCTGGACAAAGTTCTTTTCGATAAGCCGATCTAAAACGCAGCCTTATCCAATGTCTGATTGACAGGGTATTTATAATAATTATTTTTCCGTTCAATGTCACAACTTTCTAATACTTTTCTGGCTAGTTCTCGTGTTTGAAAATGAATTATTGGAAGTCATTTTAATACACAAAAACGAAGAGACAATGTGAGCGAGAGCAGTGCTAAGACTAAGATGACTCAGGCGATGTGCGGGTACGCGGGGTGTCCCCTCCCCCGCGCCTCTGCTCATACCCTGATTGCCATATCAACCTGTCGCACTCGCATACTGTAGTTTGTTTTACATAGCATAGTCGGTGTTTTGATTGTTTTACATAGCATTTAATTGTTTTTTTCTCCTACGACCTATGAAAATCTATTGCTAAAAACGCATTTTAAAAGATTTTCAAATACTCTCCTAGCCAAGCAGGTGGGTTGTCGAACACAGATTTGATACCCTTGAGCGTGTATTTATGCTCCCCTAAGATTTCCCCTCGTAAGATTTTGGTTCGACATTATCGATGATTTCGATCACCAGAGACTCCTCTATCAGTCACCAAGTTTGCAGTTGCACCACTCACAATTCTAATATATTCATGACATCTTCATGAATTATCACTAGTTCTATATGCTTACATCAGATGTAAAATAGTATAACATAGAAAAGAACGGAGTCTTTCTGAGTACAAACCAAAATTGAGGTTGATGTAAGATGTTTATCCAAGGGTTTTTAAGTCGCTATTTGAAAATAAAACTTTTATAATAGATAGACATTTTATTATTTTTAGGTAACTGACGTAATATCTTCCAAAAAGTTTTACATTAACATTTCATTGTTTTCATATAACGATATAAATCATAGATGGCAAGTCCATCTGACTTTAAGAACCAAATGAACTGTCATTAACAATACATGCGAGCAACTCGAAATCGATGCTCCCCAGCACCAATTAAATTATCGATAGACGTTATACGTGTTAATTAAACTGATTTTTTTACTTATTTTTTGGCATACAGAAGTCTGCTGCATGCACATCGTCAAAACAGGCTTATGTGCAGTCCTTCTCAGGGTGTTCGACCGTTGGGACCGCTACGAGGGACGTATGAGGCTCAAGATTTGCGCACATATTTTGCAGACACTTCAACATCTTTGCAATATTAGTACGTACTAAATAAAATAAATAGTTTGAATTAATATGAATCTAAACTTATATAATGAAAATGATTTTCAAAATAAGTTGAAACTGATTTTGAAAATTTTTTAAACTGATTTTGAAGCTAAACTTATATATAATGAAAATGATTTTCAAAATAAGTTGAAACTGATTTTGAAAATCATTTTCATTTCCGTTGAACTTTGTATTTATTCTACAAAAAAGTTTAAATTTAAAAGGTGACATTGAAGAAGCTAATTTTTCCGTCTATTGAAAATCATTAGATTTTTTTAAAACTTCTATAAATTACCATCCTTTGATGTAAAGATTTTCTTACGCCGCTAACACACATATATAAATGTCTATTTTTCATGCTAAAAACTGTTCATTATTGTATCTTTCAGGAACGGGTCGTCGAGCTCTGTGTACGAAAAAGCACGTACAAATACTCCACCGATTCTGTTCACAATGTCCTGACGAACCGGAATTCGATAGTCTTCTAGCACGAGTATGTTCTGTCATCACACTTTGTTTGAAACATCAAGCTTTGCCTGTTCCAGCTTCTAGCCCTGCCACTTTTAACCTGAACCCAATAATAAAAGGTGAGATCGTTTCATAGATATTACTCAAATAGAATAAAGAAACTTCGCAATCATTCTTCTCAGCTACGAATAATAATAAATATAAGTTTATGCATAAGAGATTCGATAAGTCTTTAAAACTTGAAAATTAATGCACATATTTATCAATCGAAACCAATGTTCGGAGCATCACAACTAATGCTTCATCACTACTCAAAATCGTTGGTATGCTTTTCGTACATTTTATTAGGCTGGCCTTAAACATCGTAATTACATACTAATTCATGGCCATCAAAATTTATTTAAAATGATGATGTGTGACTTCTATGATCCCTATTGTTCACCTGTTCACTATTCAGGCAAACAATGTTTTAGGAAGTTCAATTAGTTATGGCTACCCAATGTGATTGACAGTTTATGCATGCCCGTATGTTAGCCGATCCCATTTGCCCATTTGGCAAGTAAGCACGATTCACTATTAAATTAAAAAGTAAACGCTGTTTTAATCCTTGAGGGACATAAATTAAAGACAAGGCAGTAATTTAACGTTTCTAACGTTTACGAATTGAAAGTTTTCGATTGTTTTAATTTGTTTTTTTTTTATTAAAAAATTTTTTGTGTGAAAAAAATGTATTGAGATGTATGATTTTTTAATCACTTTTGATATAATGTTGTATTGTTATGTAAATAAAATAAATACCTATAATAATTTTATGTGGTAGAACTTTGCGGCAGCTATATTACTGGTATAGTTGTAGTACGAATGGGTCGGCTCGACCGGGCAAGGATTGCGCTCTCACAGAATACCAGCGTAAAATAGCAACTTGAAAACTGCTGTTTCGTATGATGAGTTTAGAGAACCGGAGACACTTTTTACTGGTAAAAGAAGCATTCCATCTTAGTCCTCGTGGGTGAAAACGCTTCTGTATTTTGAGTCTTTAGTGAGGTAGATGTATTGTCTATTGGTCACAGCAACCACTTACCATCAGGTGTACTGCGTGCTCGTTTGTCATCCTATTCATTAAAAAACCCTTTTTATATAATAGTTTAATTTCATAATCGACAAAATTACGTCACACAATTTTGAAATAAGATTGATAATATTATAAAAATAGAATTTAATATTTATAAAGTAGAATTAAATAGCTTAATTCATAATAATTCGATGCGTATAAGTTTTATATGTAGCTGGCATACAAAATTAAAAAGATATAATTGCTTACATTAGTGCATGTCGGTATCGGGCGGCCTCCTGTATGGCCCCTGACACTTGACGCGTATAAAATGCCGCAGCACATGAGGGGTAAACTTAAAAAAATCAACCGCCGAATGTAAAGGTATAAAGACCTTTTCAATTTACTCGGCTAGAAACTTTGAACTGAGTTTCGTCATCTTTATTTTCGTATAAATATGCTCTTTTAAAAAAATTGTCGCCTTATACACATATCCACTTGGTATTAAATATTTCACTTGATGTAAGATTAATAATTGATGGAATACTAATTTAAAAATACTTTTGTAATGAATTAAATGTTTTAACAAAAATAAATAGTATGACTATATTATACTCATAAGAAAAATAGAATATTGAACATGCTGCCGCCACAAATTTTCTTGAATATAACGATTTAGAACAATATATAAGCTCCATATTTAAATATCTAACTTTTATTTACGATTGTATAGCTTATTTTATTTATAGGAACAAATACATCATGGCCATGCCACGAGGATGAAGAAGATGCTGCAAACTCTGATGCAAAAACAATTAACTCCGATTTAGATGACGATGAGACTAATTCGGATATAGATGGAATGGATGATTTTCCAGATATCGATGTAGATGACAATGAAAGAAGGAATGAGACAGAAAAAAGACACATTAAAAGCGGTGAAAGTATACAAAACGCTCTTTGGATTAATTCAAATGAGAGAGATATAGAAGACTTGAAAAGGTTTAAATTTTATTTAGGGTTAGCGGATACCTGTATTTTTTTACTAATAACACGATACAATTTGATTTCAGATACGCTATTTATTTTAAGGAATTTGGATCTTATAATAAACAAATAAAACTAGTTAAGAGTCGCTCTAGTTCAAAGGGATTTATACTTGAAGACTATTTGAACCAATCTAGTAATAGTAAAAACATACCTACATCTCTAAGTCACTCACTTTGTGCTCTTTTAACTAATGCGGAATATGAACGTATTTCGGACTCGACATATACAACGTCCGTATTTCAGAGCGGCAATAGTAGTTGTAAGTTATAAACAGTGACATCCCTTACAAAAACAAAGAAAGCTATTGCTATGTTGAATTTTCTAAATATTATTTATACTTTTCAGCCATAACGTCTTGCTCGCATTTGAAACTTCATAAAGATATCCCAAAGTACAGCTTATTCCAATCAGTTTATTGTTCGATCGCGTCAAGAGTACGAAGCGTGATACCATTTGTCAAAGTTGCTTATCCTGATTTAATGGGAGGAAAATGTCTAAATTATCCAGAACCACTGAATAAAATGGAAAGAACAGCTTGCCGGTACCCACTTAAAATTATTATTAAAATATATATAAATATATATCATCATCAATGTGACAAATGAAAATTATGAAAATATAACAATATATTTATATTTTACCAGGAGCAAATTACTATCGTCTGTGGATAAAGCTATTAATCCAGAAGCATATTTAAACGAAGTTGTGTATGATTTAGATCAATTATGTAACAGTATGGCTTCAGATAATTCGTCACAAAAAAGGTTTCATTTTGCTTTTCTAAAGTTTTATATTTTGAAAAATTGTTTCATTATTGTATGTATATAACTAATATTCTTTATTTCAGTACGGATAACTTTCTTCTGACAAACACAGATGAGCAAGACATTTCAAAAATTAACACATTTCCATCTCGTTTGAACTTTGAGTCGAGGTTTGAATCTGGAAATCTCAGAAAAGCAATTCAGGTAAAATTAAAATTAAAATAAGATATTTACAGTGGATTTCAAATCTATATTTAATACAAACTTTTAGGTAGGTCCAAGAGAATACGAGCTGATTCTAATGCCAGATGTGAATTCGTCTAAAAGACACCAATGGTTTTATTTCGAAGTACGCAACATGCAGCAGGGACGTCCTTATATATTTAATATTGTAAATTGTGAGAAATCAGACAGTCAATTCAATTTCGGTATGAAGCCAGTTTTATATTCTGTGAAAGAAGCTATTCTGGGAAAACCAGGTATCCTTAAGTATCCCTTTTGTTAGTAGCTAGTGTACTATGTCCTTTTTTCATTTCTATGTTAAACGTCACAATAACAGTTCGCCTTTCTTTACTTTCAAATTATACAAATGTTTCACATTGTAAGCAAATATATTATTTTTAGGACTACAAAATTATTATTTTCTTTAAAATAAAGGTTAAGCATTTATTGTAAATAATGGTCGCATTATAATTTATTCAAAGAATTAAAAGATAACAATATAAAGTCAAGGAAAACTTACATCGTGTTTAATATGCAATTTCTAAAATTAAAATTTTAAATCTAAAACATAATATAATAACACATATGTAAAACTACACTAATAATTAAAGAAAGTTGTAAGCAAAAATATAGAATAAGCCAAATTTAATTTGCTAATGAAAAAACTAACTTACTTAAATTTAGAATAACCATAAACAAAATATTCAAACAACAAAAGTAAACAGATCGAGAAAAGCGTCACATTAAATTTATTTCGTTTAATTTTTATATCAATATGAACCATTTATCTGGTAATTTGTCATTATTTAATTAATATTATGCGATTTGTTGTAGATTTGCGTAGATTTTCGGCCAGTAAAATTGCAACCAGTAATAGTAATTAATTTTAATTTCCGAACCAGTCAGAGTTATTATCAACATTACGGTACTCAAAAATTTCTAAAGTGACTACACAAGTGGAATATCTTAGAGCGCAAAGTCAGTGTATACCTCATATACACGATAGATGCAAACACTTCCCGGCAAAGATCTTTCAATTTTCAATCTATCTGTTATTCAACGGAGGCCGCACTTTCCCGATTACTTAGTTTTATCGCATCGTTTTACAACTTCTCGTCACCTTACATAGTGTCTTAAAATGACCGGACTGGAATAAAACTTTCGTTTTCAGATTAAAATGTTTGAAGCAACTTCATGTTAACCTTTCTGATACTCCATTAAGTTCATAAATGCCAACTTTTAGGTTTCATTACCAAAATTCTTCATTGCCAAATTGTGTTTCATTACTGCACACAGCTAAATGAGATTTTCTTTGTGAGTTTTTGTCTTAAGATTATATTGTGTTCTTTGTAAAAATTAGCTAAAAATTTCATAGTCTTTGAGTTGTTGGTAGTTTTCCTCCTTTTGGGTAATATTATGTATCAAAGGAGCCTGCAACGTACGGACATTAATTATGTTACTGTCATTCAATAAAAATGCTATGATAATTAATATATGCTGTATGAACAATACAGTGATAAAATATACCCCTACATTACACATAATGGATTATAAACAATCTACCCAAGCACAAGTTACTATGTCCTAATAATTACATTGGCACGTTTGAATTTTTTGGACATACATTTTGACCCTAAAAGCACTGTTTAAACCCATCTTTCAGATTTATGTATGGTAATGCACTTGTAAGTATAACCGTATAAGTAAAAGTAACAAGTGATAATTCGCTATTAAAAATAGGTATTTGGTATAAAATATTTCTTCTCGAATTAATCTTTACTAACGCCGCTACTAGACGCTGCGATGTTAAGGTATAATATTTTGTTATTCTTTGCCGTACTAAAAATCCCTAAATTTTTCTGGGTAAATAATATTTAAAAAATTGTGATTACTATTTTTTTTTTATGTAATAAGTTTGACAAGCGTGCACACAGTCTACCTGATGTAAAGTGCATAAACATCTACATCTATCCTCGAATAACAATCAAAATGCAGATGCGTTGTCAGCCGCGAGGACTATGATGGAATGACTCGTTTCCAGTAAAATGGGTCTCCGGTTCTCTACACTCACCATGAAAAACACAGCAGCATTGAACTGCTATTTTACGCTGGTATTCTTTGAGAACGTGGTCCTGCCCGGTCCAGCCGACCCATTCGCGCTACAACCATAATAAAGTTGCAGCGTGACTCTACCATGTATAAAAATGGCATCAATTCACTGATGATCAATTTCGTTTTTTTTTGTTGTCAAAATTAACACATTTCTTGTCTTTCTTTAACTAAAATAATACGTAATCACTGACCTCTATTATCCAAGTACGCTGGACTGGCTATACACCGTGACATTAGGAGGCGATTTAATTTTCGCCATTTTGGCGCTGATAGCATAAGTGGGCGTCCACGAAACTAATAAAAGAGATAGGACAGTGTGACAAAATATACATACATACATACATAAACACTCACGCCTGTCACCCAGAGGGGTAGGCAGAGATTATGGACTTCCATTTGGCACGATCCTGACACACCTCTCTCGCTTCTTACACATCCATATACCTACGCATACACGCTCGTCGGTTAAAGGTACTCTTGATTTGGCCCATTTTTAATATATCGCCAATTTGGTCGATAAACTTTCGCCTAGGGCGACCCTTCCCGACTATGCCGTTCACCTCTGTAACATAAATTTGCTTTGTCACTCTTTCCTCATTCATTCTTTCTACATGGCCAAACCAACGAAGCATTCCTTTCTTAAACCTGGTCACAACATCATCTTGCAAACCACACTCTTCTCTTATTAAACAATTTCTCACTCTGTCATTCAGCTTCATCCCTAACGTACTCCTTAATGACCGCATTTCTACAGCATTTATTCTACTCTCATGCTTCTTCTGTGACAAAATATATAGATAAAAATTCTATACCCAGGCATATCCGTAACATCCATTCTAATTATGTATCCGGATGTAAATGTAATTGATACATTATCCGTAATAGGTAGACAGTTGAAATTTTCACAGAATGTGTATTTCTGTTGCCGCTATAACAACAAATAAAAATAAATTTAACAGTGGTAGAGCCACGCGACAGCTTTTGCTGTCGCACGGATGGGCCGGCTCGAACCGGGGTGGTACCACGACCTCACAGAATACCACCGTGAAGTAGAGGTTTACCTCTGCGTTTCGCTTGGTGAGTGCTTGGCCACCTGGCCGGAGGCCCTTTTTACTAAAAATGAGGCATTCCATCTTAGTCCTCACGGGTGACAACGCATCTGCATTTTGATTTGTAATAGAGGATAGATGTAGATGTCTATGGGCCGCAGCAACCACTTACCATCAGGTGGACTGTGTGCCCGTTTGTCACCCTTATCCTATAAAAAAAAATTAAAGGAGGCTCCCCCACTAGAAACGTGTTTTACGATAGTACGGAATCCTTCATGCACGAGTCCGACTCGCACTTGCCTGGCTATTTAAAAGCTAAACTAATTAATTCTTTGAATACACTTTTTACTGAACACACAATTTTAAAAATATCTATATAATTATTATAAACTAGTGTTTTGCTATTATTCCACCCAAGGTTACTTTTCCACCTAAGATGTGCTATGCTACGTTGCCATGGATGCATTTGATACCCACCAATCATATTCATTGGTCCATATGGCTTAGCAATGATGGAAATAGGTTCAACTAAGCTATTTTTTTATATGTATGGATGCGTGCTCTGGATGGTCGCGAGTGGTGTAGCTATCTACAGAGCAGAGCTCCCCATGCCTTCCCTACTGCTGAGACATCGCATAGCTCGAGCTGCACATCATCCTCGCACAGCTGCAACGCGGCGGTGCATCTTCATAGCAGATCTTACTCGCTACATAGCTTAGCATCAATGGAAACAGTCACATAGTTTAGGCTATTCACTCTTTCCTTGAAGACAAATAAAGTATTTGTACTAAACCTTTTCAGTGAACTAACGAATATTACAAGCTCAAGGTAAAAACTATAATGTCGTCTAAACAGTTACATGAATCTTCAATCATCATTGGGACGCGAGAATATTGTCAGAATGAGGTCAAGATTAGATCTCAAATCACAGCCTGTGAAAGTTCACCGCTGAACATGGGGGCGCCCCATAGAGCCATGGGGCAACCACAGTTTTTTTGTATAATAATAAGTTGTTATCAGGAATTTGCTGCTGCCCATCTCCTGTTTCAGTTTCCCTCTGTTATCTCTTACGATACTCCAATATGGGATAGTTGATATGAATAGAATCAGATATACCTAAGTCTATATTGTATGTTATTAGGGTGGCACTTTTAGAAACAGTAAATATATTTATCCTTAGGCCCTTCTTTTTATTTCAAAGTGTAACACGAAAAGATAACATACAATTTTAAGGAATTTATTACATTACCCTAAAATTTTGTTATTTATATTTTCTATACACAGGATGGGTGAGAGCAGGCTCGGAAATTTGCTACTACCGCAACAGCTACCACTACGCGAACCAGAAGAACCACAACAAGTGCTATCTCACAGTTACCTTCAACATCGATTTCCCTCATACGAACGACGTGTGCTACATCGCTTACCACTACCCCTTCACTTATTCTATGCTAATGGTAACAAAAACACGTGACTAATATATATTTTTTAATTCAACAAATACATTTGACGTGAAACGGTATTAGGGTTACCAACCTACCAAGAAAAAGTTGACAACCCAACGTGCCAGTCTATATTTAAAAGCAGGGTTTTTAAAACATGCTTGCATTTATAGAGTTAATTAAAAATATTATGTTAGTGACTTAAATCAAGATATAACCGGGGATTTATTCAAATTAATTGAAATCGATACAGAGTATAAACGTCTGCTGGAAACGCTGGGCACGAACCGATTATATTATTGAGGTTTTAGAGCAAGGAGTTCTCTGTTCTGACCCAATGCGTGTAGAAGGAATTTGCATGTCTTCGATATTTTTTTTTATAATGCAGTTTTCCTCATGGCGTTTTGCTTCACTTCCGTGTGTGGTATCTCAACATTTAAAATTGCAGTTAACAATTTCGTTAATGCAGAAATTAAATTCGGGTTACTCCCTTACTAACAAAGTGTAAAATGAGCGTAAAACATGAACTGAAAAATTGGCATGTAAACATATTTAATATGTATCTTACTTTACTTTTGATAGCACTTTGTTTGCTGTTTAAAACTTATTTATGATATACATATATTAGGCAGTATGACCGTGTCATTAAAAAATAAGGTACTCTCTAACGAGGCCATACGGATCTAAGATTTTACTGTTTCCAACAGATGGCTATAAGCAGATAATCATCTCTTTTTCCCATGTAGTGGCGGGTAAGAATACTACCCCATGTCTTCCCGTGAGTGTCGTAAGAGGCGACAGAGAGAAACTGAGGCAGAAGATGGGCAGCAGGATCTTTATGATAACAGCAAAACAACAATAAAAAAACTGCGATTACCAACCCGCTCGCCAAGCGTGGTAACTATGGCAATGTATATATAATGAAGTCAACGCTCCGTCCCTCTTATGCTGTAATCCAGAGTCCCGAAACCTTTCAAACCGTGTTCAGTGGCTAGAAGATTGCAATGCAGTGGACAATATGAATGACAAGCTCGTGGAAACTCTCCATGCGGTCGGAGTTAAGTTTTGCAAGACCCGCCGCAGAAGAACACAAAAATTCTCCGATCACAATCTTAATCTCATCGCTGTTAGACTGGAACTGAAGCTGCAGTCATCAGTAGATTTGACAGCATAAAGGCAACTAAACAGACTGATCTCTAAACGCATGCGGCGGAACTTACGCAACATTAATATTCTTCATATTGAAGAAGCGATCGAGCGGAACCAGGGCTCCAAAGTCTTTGCTAGAGATATCTACCAGAAAGAGCCAACTGGCGAAGCTGAAGACAGAGTGTGGCAGCATCATTTCCGGGACACCTGAGATTTTGAATGAGATTGAGAGGTTCTATGGGCAGCTGTACACATCATCGTTGGTGCCACACGCAAGTGTGTGTAACGATCCAATAGCGAGTCTTATCGGACACTATTTCGAAGATATTCCGGAAGTCAGTCTGAGTGACACTCTCTAGCACCTTAAAAACGGCAAGGCCCAGGCGAGAATGGAATTACAACAGAGCTTCTGAAAGCGGGTGGAAAACCAGTACTTGAAGTCCTTCAGAAGCTCTTTAATTCTGTCTTTCATGGTGGCACTACACCGAAGGTGTGGAGCATAAGTGGGGTGGTCTTGTTCTTCAAGAAAGGCGATAATGCTCTCTTGAAGAACTACAGAATGATTTCCCTTCTGAGCCGCGTCTACGTGCTGTTTTCGAGAGTCGTTACGGATCGTCTCGTATACAGACTCGACGACTTTCAGCCTCCCAAACAAGCTGGTTTCCGAAAAAGCTTTAGCACCATAGATCACATACATATCCTTCGGCAAATTGTACAGAAGTCCAAAGAGTATAATTTGCCACTATGTCTGGTATATGTGGACTATGAGAAAGCCTTTGATTCAGTCAAAATTTGGGCGGTGTTGCAGTCCCTTCAGCGGTGCCAAGTTGACTGTCGGTATATCGAAGTGCTGAAGTGTTTGTACAGTAGGGCTACGATGGCTTTCCGAGTACAGAACCAGAGTACGAGGTGTAAGACAAGATGGCGTTATATCCCCGAAACTCTTTAAGCTGCATTGGAAGACGTTTTCCAGCTTCTCGACTGCAAAGGCCGTATCCTTTTATTAACATCAACGACGAGTACATCACTCGTCTTCGATTTGCTGACGATATAGTCCTTACGGCAGAATCGCTGGAAGACCTAAGCACTATGCTCAATGACCTCAATAGTGGCTCCTAACGGATAGGTCTTAAGATGGACATGGATAAAACAAAGATCATGTTAACCTCCATGTCACACCTATGCCGGTAGTTATTCCGTTAGTAATTACGGCACATCTTCTCGTCAGGTATACCTCACAACTTGAAAACGAGACTGTACAACCAGTGCCTGTTGCCCGTGATGACCTATGGAACTGAGACGTGGTCTTTTACTGCTGGCCGGGTGAAGAAGCTCAAGTTCACTCAGCGAGCTATGAAGACGGCTAAGCTCGGGGTTTCTCTGCGTGATAAAGAGAAATGAGGATATCCGCAGTAGAACCAGAGTGACCGACATAGCCCAACGGATTAGTAAACTGAAGCGGCAATAGGCTGGTCATATAGCTCGAAGAACCGACAACCAATGGGGAAAAAAGGTTGTCGATTGGCGGCCTCATACCGGCTGACGAGTTGAAAGGCGTCCCCCCACTAGATGGAGTGACGACCTGGTAAGACATGCAGTAAGTCAATGGGTGCAGGTGGCTCAGGACCGTGTTTGTGGCATTCCTTGGGGGAGGCCTATGTTCAGCAGTGGACTTGTGAAGGGCTGTAATGATGATGATGATGAATCATCTCTTTTAAGCACAATAAAAATATCCAGACCTGCGACGGGTAGTAGATAACGGCCACTCAAAGAAATGAACAAAAGATTTGGTGGCAATCGATAGATGGCGCTATAGGAATCTCTTATTAATATCCCAAAAGTAAGAACCCCTAATTACTGACGTGATACCGCGTTAGAGTAGGTGGACTATTATTACTTAGGTTCCCAGGTTAGGGTTAATAATTCCTATAATAAGTTAGCGTTTAGTGGCATCGTAACAAAATTCGCTTGCTTATATCATACCGTGGGTGTCGTAAGAGATGACAGAGGAAAATCAAACAGAAGATGAGCAGCAGCATCTTCTCGATAACAACTCAAACTAATAAAAAACTGCTGTTGCCAACCCGCCTGCCAAGCGTAGCAACAATGCCAAATATCTCCTCTATGAGGCAATATATATAGTAGGAAACCTATGTTTAGCAGTGGACTTTAAAAAAAAGCTATGATGAACTAATTAATGAATAAGGGACAGGCTCTTGTGCGAAAGGGAAAACGGCTGATAAGCAACATATTTTTGCAAAATGAACGAAAAGCTCTTTTTTCAGACCCGCATTTTCCAGTGGATTTCGCACCTGCCTCCTGGAACATACCTACGAGCTGAAAACCTTTGTTACTCTTTGAATAACAACGAAGTGCCCTTACTGACTATAACCGCAGACGACAATGCTTCTAACCCAATTGTGGTAAATAAATAAATTATTATATTTTTCATAACCGTTGTGTTCATAATACATAATATCTGATGTTACGCTTGACAATCATAACACCACGTAAGCTTATGTACTACATAAACGTAAGCAGCTAGATTTCTGGACATTCATAAAAGAAAATAATTGTCGTATACTCCACACCCGGCAGACGTATGTATATATACGATAGTTCTCCAATGATGTATAAGTAAGTTTTTAAAAATGCACTCTAATCCACTATTTTCAAAACAGGGTCATCATTATCTACATGAGCGGGATTTATGTCTACTATGCAATTTTTTTTCTTTTTTCATAATAGGGAGTTTACATATTTAATGAGATTTTTTTTTAATTAGACCACCTCAAGAATGTAGTTCTAATGGGTTGTGTCTTAGATGTCATTTAACTTAGCTGTCCTATTGCATAACGCTTAACATAAAAAGATGTCAAAACTTTACTTTTCCTTTCTCTACAATAGTATTTGCTCAATAACTTGCGCTGCGATTTAGCTTAATATCTTTTAATAATAAACACTCATTATACTCTTGTAATATTGTAATAGATCAAGGCACTCACCTTAAAATTTCATGAGCATGAGCAAACTGTGAATTTCATTTAACAGTGAAGTCGAAGTCGAAGTTTACGAAAGATTCAAATATCGTGAGGAAACAGTCAGTGCACTCCGTGTCATTAAAAAGTCACAAGTTTGTTTATATATATGTTATTTTATTGCATGTATTGTCTATATATCTGTATTGATATTATACTATCATCATCATCATCATTACAGCCCTTCACAAGTCCACTGCTGAACATAGGCCTCCCCCAAAGAATGCCACAAAGCACGGTCCTGAGCCACCTGCATCCATCGACTTCCTGCATGTCTTACCAGGTCGTCACTCCATCTCGTGGGGGGACGCCCTACACTTCGCCTACCGGTACGAGGCTGCCACTCGAGAACCTTTCTTCCCCATCGGTTGTCGGTTCTTCGAGCTATATGGCCGGCCCACTGCCACTTCAGCTTACTAATCCGTTGGGCTATGTCGGTTACTCTGGTTCTACTGCGGATATCCTCATTCCTAAGTTTATCACGCAGAGAAACTCCGAGCATAGCCCTCTCCATAGCTCGCTGAGCGACCTTGAGCTTCCTCATACGGCCAGCAGTGAAGGACCACGTCTCAGTTCCGTAAGTCATCACTGGCTACACGCACTGGTTGTACAATTTCGTTTTCAGGTTTTGAGGTATGTCTGACGAGAAGATGTGTCGTAGCTTCCCGAACGCTGCCCAGCCGAGTTGAATCCGTCGATTGACCTCTCGGTCGAAGTTGGACTTACCTAGTCGGACTATTTGTCCCAAGTAAACATACTCGTCAACAACTTCGAGCTTAGTGCTCCCAACAACTACCGGCATAGGTGTGACATGGACATTGAACATGATCTTTGTTTTCTCCATGTTCATCTTAAGACCTATCCGTTGGGAAACACTATCGAGGTCATTGAGCATAGTGCTTAGGTCCTCCAGCGATTCTGCCATAAGGACTATATCGTCGGCAAATCGAAGGTGAGTGATGTACTCGCCATTGATGTTGATACCGTATCCTTTCCAGTCCAGAAGCTTGAAAACGTCTTCCAATGCAGCGGTGAAGAGTTTCGGGGATATGACGTCACCCTGTCTTACACCTCTCTGCAATTGGATAGGTTTCGTACTCTGATTCTGTACTCGGATAGCCATCGTAGCCCTACTGTACAAGCACTTCAACACTTCGATATACCGACAGTCAACTTGGCACCGCTGAAGGGACTGCAGCACCGCCCAAATTTCGACGGAATCAAAGGCTTTCTCATAGTCCACATACGCCAGACATAGTGGCAAATTGTACTCTTCGGACTTCTGTACAACTTGCCGAAGGGTATGTATGTGGTCTATGGTGCTAAAGCCCTTTCGGAAACCGGCTTGTTCGGGAGGCTGGAAGTCGTCAAGTCTGCGCGCGAGACGATTCGTAATGACTCTCGAAAACAGCACGTAGACGCGGCTCAGAAGGGAAATCGGTCTGTAGTTCTTCAAGAGAGCGTTGTCACCTTTCTTGAAGAACAAGACCACCGCACTTCTGCTCCACGCCTCCGGTGTAATGCCACCATGGAGGACGGAATTAAAGAGCTTCTGAAGGACTTCAAGTACCGGTCTTCCACCCGCTTTCAGAAGCTCCGCTGTAATTCCATCCTCGCCTGGGGCCTTACCGTTTTTAAGGTGCTGGAGAGCCATTCTAATCTCGCTCAGACTGACGTCCGGGATATCTTCGGAATAGTGTCGGATGAGACTCGCTCTTGGATCGTTACTCAAACTTGCGTGTGGCTCAAACGATGACGTGTACAGCTGCCCATAGAACCTCTCAATCTCACTCAAAATCTCAGGTGTCCCGGAAACGATGCTGCCGCATTCTGTCTTCAGCTTTAACAGTTGGCTCTTTCTGGCAGACAGATCTCTGGCAAAGACTTTGGAGCCTTGGTTCCGCTCGATCGCTTCTTCAATACGAGCTGTATTGAAGTTGCGTAAGTCCCGCCGCATGCATTTGGAGATCTGTTTGTTCAGATGCCTGTATGCTGTCAAGTCTGTTGAAGAATGTAGCCTCATCTCCCGTCTAACAGCTATTATATTATGTATATTTATATTGCACCACCTACCTAGTATTCATTGTTTTATTACTTTACCACCTTTGGTTGCCTGCAAGAGATCGCTATGTAGCGATAAGGTTGCCAAATTGTACATATAATCTGCTTTTTGTTATTTATTTATTTATTTAAAAGTTCATATACACATGTGGTATATAGGCGGACTTAATGCCTAAGGCATTTTATACCAGTCAGTTATGGTGTTTGTATATTTGTTTGTGGTGTAGAATAAAGTATATTCATTCATTCAAAGCCTAAGCAATAAAATAATTGGAACACATGTGAAGTCCGCTAACATGCACGTGAGCAGCGTGACGCGATTATCATTACCTTCACCGTTACAGCCTATTAAAGTCCACTGCAGAATATAGGCCTCCCCCATTATCCTATCATACCACCTCTTAGGGATATTTACCATAGTTACCAAGCTTGGCTGCCGCAGTTTCTTATTTTTAGTTGTTAGTAGGAAGACGCGGTACTAGGCATTGAGTTATATGTACTACGTACTAGAGAACCTATTCCAAACAAAAATTGTGCGCTACTCTGTCTTCGCGTAATAATTTAATATAAAATACTTTTATTTTAATCTAAACAAACATATTTCTAAATGTGATAATAATTATCTTATGGAATTCACAAATCTTCAATTTACGCAATATTTAGTTTAGTGTACGGATTGCAGTACAGTTTAGTTGAACATAGACAATGTTCGGAATACGAAATCTAGTGCGTAGTACATATACATCGATGGCACTACGTAGTAGAGTCATGCTGCAGCTATATTAGTAGTATAGTTGTAGCACGAATGGGTCGGCTCGACCGAGGAAGGACCACGCTCTCACAGAATATCAGCATGAAATAGCAGCTTAACACTGCTGTGTTTCGTATGGTGAGTGTAGAGAACCGGAGACCCTTTTTACTGGAAAAGGGGCATTTCATCTTAGTCCTCACGGGTGACAACGCATCTGCATTTTGATTATTTATTGAGAGGATAGATGTAGATGTCTATGCTATGGGTCACAGCAACCACTTACCATAAGGTGGACTGTGTGCTCATTTGTCACCCAATCCTATAAAAAAGACACCCAGGGTATGATATGGGGTAGTGGATATTCTTACACCGCCACTACACCGTCTAAGAAGAACTAATTGCTTCACAGTAAATGAAGAACATCTCGTTAAACATGAGAAGTTCACCACCACGCATCGAGTTCTTCACTGCTTCAAAACCCTGTCAATAATGAGATCTGTACCTGTAAATGGAACATACTTACGTTGATAGTTATAAATACAAACTTTGTTATATTCATTTGAATACCGCAACATCACTCTCTCCTCTGAGATGGCTTTTCCGCCTGAGTCAAATGAAGCATGATTTTTTGAATACTATGAACAAACACAAGCTAGTTATACATGTTACTCGACTCCAAGGAGTCAGTAATTTCTTCATTCGGCAATGTATACGCTTTTTCAAAGTCACAAAGTCCCAGAAAATATCATTCAGGGACTTTATGACTTCAAAATATCAGGCTTATCTATTAAAAGGTTTAAATGTTTTATTCAGCAAAACTTGTTTAGTAAGAGTTATTCTATTCTATTAGCATTTTTTTTTTATAGAATAAGGATGACAAACGAGCACACAGTCCACCTGATAGTAAGTGGTCGCTGTGGCCCATAGACATCTACATATATCTTCGTTTGTGAATTTAAATGCAGACGCGTTGTCAGCCGTGAGGACTAAGATAGAATGCTTCTTTTCCAGTAAAAAGGGTCTCCGGTTCTCTATACTCGCCATACGAAACACAGCAGCATTAAGCTGCTATTTTACGCTGGTATTCTGTGAGAGCGTGGTCATTCGTTCGAGTCGACCCATTCGTGCTACAACTACACTATTGATATAGCTGCAGCTTGACTCTACCACGTAGTAGCATTTCCTGATTTTATTAGCAGAGTACTTCTCGGAAATAGTTTACTAAGTATGACTCCTTTTCTGCGTAAGAGTTCGTTTGGATAGATACTACCCTCAATAGCAGTCCTTGCACTTACTTGCATTTACTGTATATGGTATGAAGGATACCAGAGCTAGAGCCAGCATAATTACAGGCTGCCATCTTAATCGCCAGAAGTGATAACACATCTGTAGCATTCTTTGTTTCAAAATGGCTTTAAATAAAATATTTACAAGCTGCAGGAACGAAATACCATAACGTGTACTATGAGTTCGTTTATTCACTTCATTTTTAGGGTTCCGTGCCTCAAAAGGAAAAAACGGAACCCTTATAGGATCTCTTTGTTGTCCGTCTGTCAAGACGCTTTTTCTCAGGAACGCGTGGAGGTATCAAGCTGAAATTCATATCAAATACTCAAGTCTACTGTCCCTTAGAGCTGTGAAAAAATCAAACTAACTAAGCCAACGCAATCAAAAGATACAGCCGTTTATGCCGTAAATTTTCGACATTCGCTAGGGAATCAAAACCTACAGGGTACTTCCCGTGAACTCAGAATCTTGAAATTTGGTACGAAGCAACGTTTTATAGCACAGATAAAGGAAAAATTGCGAAAAGCATAAATTTTTAGTTACATCATATAATAAAAATATTTTTAATAATTTTAAACTTATATACCTACAGATTTGTTCAGAACCCTCGGTGCGCGAGTCCGACTCGCACTTTGCCGGTTTTTTTTAAAGCAGCAGCCCCTCGACTTGTTGGAAAAGGCGACGCCACGCAATACGCCCAGCCAAATGTTCTCCAATAATAGCTAAATGTCGCCGACGACTTAGTCCACTTTGCCGCGATACCCACGTAATGAAAAATAAAGCAATGGATGCTTAGATGCTCAGATTCTTTCACAAGAAATTGAAACAAGGAATGCTGTGAATGCTGATAAAAGCTATGAATATTAATGAGATGCTTTGCAAATGCACGCAAATTGGCAATGTTTAGTTTCTTTTTTATTCTTTTAAGTGTCGGTAACCACTTATAATAATGTTAATATTCTATCAGGAAATACACAGAACTTCTGATAGAATAGTATCAAATCAATATAAAATTTAACAGTGAAGTTTGGATTGAAAGACTAATAGGGTTTATTTTAGAATAACTTACTACCGCACTTATTTTTCAAGTTCGCAATGAAAACGTAAGCGTAAATACAATCGTAATCACTGACTGCTGTTTATGTATGCATATTCAACTTATCAAGTAGTAAGTGGAAATGTTAAGAAAAAGACAGTAATTGCTTCTTCTTCTTAATAACTGGCTTTACGGCTCTGGGATCTAGGCCTTCTGAGCCTGAAGGTACGATATTATATTATAATAATTATTGCATTTAATTATGCAGCCCTTGGGAGATTTTGACGGTAACTTGAGCCAGCAGACAGCTGACGGTTGGCGATGTTATCTCAAGGCGCCTAAGCAGACAGGCACCTTATTTTGAGAATCACATCACTATCAGAGCACTTGTTTCACAGTTTCCACTAATAGTTCACATGCGCAGACACTTAATACACAAAATCGCACCACTTTTACATATCAAAGTCCACTTCAAACCATTATTTAAACAAAAACGGAGCAGCAAACCGCCGCCGGTCAAGTTTCCGCCCAAACTCGACAGTAATTGCTTGTATTTACATGCACAGACCAGGTTAATGAAATAAAAAAGTTAACGAACGCATTCCTTTTTCTATGATTTCATCATCCTTGATATCAACCTTTTTGAATTCATTGCTAATTCAAACACAAAAATCTCCTAAAATCCTAAATTGCCGTTAATTAACACTTTTAAGGTACGGGGAGAAAATGGGAGGGCGTTAGTGTCAGCATTTGTGGCTCAAGCGCCCGCTGGCAACATTCCCTGTTACCCCTCTGTTATTCAACACACAGGTGGTGAGCACAGAGCTGATACTCTGACTCTGGTAATACTGCTACATCGCCTAACTAATCCTAGAGTACTGAATTAGAAATTAAAAAGAAGAAACTCACAGTCTGCATATATTTCTGTACTGGATATATTTCGCGTACGGCATATTTAGATCATCCCTACAACGATAGAGGTTTATGTTCATAAGCATATAAAGTACATAAATACTTTTACGGACTAATAAAAAAGAAGCAATTTGGTTAGAATTCGAATTACGATTGATGGTAGTCCGTTTGACAGCAGAGTACGCCGCGTCCTCCCGCATAGATTGTTGGGTATTTGCCAATACTCGTATTGCTACGTTTAGTAGGCAGGTAGGCAACTGCGGATCTTTAATTGTATTGAGTTGTTTTCAGGAAAATGCTACTCGCATTAAAAGAGGTTAAAATATCTTATAAAGAATAAATATTCCGATGGATGGGATATACGAAGTGATATGGTTTATAATCCTAGTGATAATAACTTCTTAATACTGTAAATTTTATTGCAAACTAGCTGTTCACCGCGGCTTCGCTCGCGTGTTAGGGTTTTTATTCTTTGCGCGGAACGCTAATTCTTTTTCTAAAATAAAAGTAGCCTAAGTTACTCCTTATGACATCAGCTATCTGCCAGTGAAAGTGCCGTCAAAATGGGTTCAGCTGTTTCGGAGATTAGCCGGAACAAACAGACAGACAGGCAGGCAGACAAAAAATTTAAAATTGTGTTTTTGTTATTAGTACCGTATATATACTCTCATATAGGTACATTTAGTAAAAAGCTGTAATTTTGACATTACAAACAGACACTTCAATTTTATTTATTTATATAGATTATCCAATATTACGCTAAACTAATACACGCGGCGACGCGACTATTTTCCGTGATATTAGTGCTGCTAGCTAGTTGACTTTTGCAGCTTCACCGGAAACACGTCTCTAACTATATAGTAAGGGAGATGATGATGACGATTATGATCGAATGTTAATTTATCGTAACGGTGTTCACTTGTATGCTAATCAGTGTACAAACGAGGTTTTTTGTTTATAGGAAAGGGGGCAAACAAGCACACGGCTCACCTGATAGTAAGTGACTACCGCCACCCATAAACAACTGCAAGACCAGGGGAATTTCAAGTGCATTGCCGGCCTTTTAGAAAGGAGTAAAGTAAAAGTAAAGCCTTTTATCTAACCGCCGTCCGAGCAGGGGTGTAGTAGTAGTAGAGGTGGCGGGACCCGGCTCTGACGGAACCGCAACACACACTCTGTGTGGAGGAGAGTGTGGCGCGCCTGTCTGCAGGCGCGGTGCGTCCCATCCATTGACCTAACTGTGTTTGTAACAGTAAGTAAGTGTGGAGTATTAGTGTTTGATTGGCCAGCGACATTAGAGTCGTTTGACCTCCGTTCCTACATCTAAGAAGTGAGCGGGATCTGCAAATTCCTAGATGGAGTGCATTAGCTGTCTGGACTGTCTGCGAAGCATTCAGCGATTTCAGAATCGTCTAAGGAAAAATCGGGGTTGCCAGGTCTAATAAGAGGGGACATGGGTGAGGACTGCTCTTCTTTCAGATTTCGGGCAAATAACCAGTAGGTTTTTTAGGTTTAGATTTCTCCTATTTGTCATGTCTGAATTCGGCTATGCGTTGTTTAACCTCAATTTGGAGGTTAACGTTTTAGGGCCGCGATTTTCGCTCTCGTCAGCTGTCGAATATATCTCGAAAGTTTCGTGTATAGATTGCTCGACACCCAAGCCTTACGAGAGAATTCTTTGACCGCTGAAGTAAGGTGGACCGAGATGGATATTATTCCATCTCACTTTCTTATTTCGCCGCCAAAGCCCTACACTGTGACACAAGGGGTAGTGACGATAAAATCTTACACTTATTGTCGCCTAGCTCCCATCCGCCAAACCCGTCCGTCCAATATGGAACTTCGTTCCAAAAAATCTCATTCGTTTTATTTGCACACTAGCAAATATGCTCGATATGATTATTAAATTTATAAATGACGTGATGTCATAAAATTCTTAAATTGTCATAAAATCTTTCGGTCTGTTCTTATATATGTGTACTTATTTAAGTACAATATCGCCTAAGAAACTTAAGCATCATCAACAAAAAATTTATTAACTTTAAATTTATGTATAATTAAAGACCTTTATAATATATGATTAAATCTTTATCCTTCTGTATTGACACTTAGTTTTTATCGTTTTGTAAATCATAAATTTTTTTGAGATAAAAGAAAGAAATTGAGGAAAACATTTTTATATTACTTTTCTCTAAATTAAAACGTTACATTAAGCAATTTTGTGTTTGTTCAAATTTCTCAGAAAGATACATTTTTTCAATAGGATCGTGACACAATATTCCTAACGGCGCGTGTGCACCCTGGCGAAAGCAACGCGTCTTGGGTAATGGACGGCACTCTGGGCTGCTTGTTGAGCGACTCCGCATCTGCGGCTGCACTTCGAGCCAAATACGTGTTCAAAATCGTGCCAATGCTTAACGTCGAAGGTGTAATCAACGGTTGGTGAGTACTTAACCCTTACTTACCTCTCTCTATACATCTACAATGTTCCCTTCGTAGCAAGAAAATTACACGTAAAAATCAATATTTTTTTACGTGTAATTTTTTTGCCACAATCGCCACGCTTGGTGGGCTTTTCTGCTCACCGTAGCCAGACCACAAAGCTACGCAAAAGTTACAGCCTATATACTTTACGTACCACAGCTGGGCACAGGCCGCCTCTCATGTCTGAGAGGGTTTTAGGGCAAGGGAATGTCCGCCGCGCTGTCCCAATGCGTGTTGGTGAAGCTGACATATTTTTGAAATATTTTTTTCTTATTTGATAGACATGCAGGTTTCTTCACGATGTTTTCCTTCACCGCCGAGCACGTGGTAAATCAGCACTTAAAATTGGAATTAACAATTTCATTTGTGCCGCCGGGGAGCGAGCCCGGGTTACTCACGTACTTTTAATATTTACAACGAGAGCCCAACTTAGCCCCTGACCTACCATGGCGATGTAAAATTGAATTTTACTTTGTTAAAATAAGTTCAAACCAAAAATATAAGGATAATTTATTATTATTCTAAGTGCAGTACATTTTCAAATAGTTAAAAAGATAATATTTTTTTCGATAGAATAAAAACACAAAGTTGTCTTTGTTTCTCGGCTATTTTACTTCTGTTCTTAATAGTAACTTGACTAAAAACTGATGACTAACAACTAATGCGCACATTGTCTCTAAGAAAATTCTCTAAATTTGCTACAATTGACGAGACAATTGATTAAAATAAAGTTGGTACGAAGACAAGGTCGTCCATCTCCAACGGACTTTGTTTCGCCAATCACTAAATGCTAATGGACAATCAGTCACGTTCATTCGTCGAGACGGTGTTTTGTATGCGCTCTTCATCTAACTTTTCATCATCTGGCGCCAATCAAATGCTTATAGCCCCTGTATTAGCAGCCAAGAGATTGCTCTGGCTCTGCTCTCTTTCCCATTGTCGCCTCTTACGAAATCCACTGGACGACGAAATGGAGTGATGGATATTTAACGCCGCCCCAACACGGCAACTTACTCCGGATATGTAGGTAAGTATCTACCCTTGCATTATAGTCATTTAGTCAAAAATATTTTAGGTAGGAAATAAAAGAATAGGCGATAATATTTTTTAAAATTTATTAACTTTTCTACATTACCTATTCTTTAAATTCTTGAGTTTTAACTTAATACACTTATATTATTACGTCACGTATTATAAACATAGTCTTAAATCACTATCCCAAATGATATGTCCAGACAGTAAATTAGCGTCAATTTTCTTAAACAAAACTAGCTATATTTTACGGTTAAGAAGAAAATATCGGAGATCTGACAAGCACTAACTTTTGTATGAAGTCTAGGTACGATTTCCTTGGAATAAATTTTCGCAATGTCCCTAATTTCTGAAGACGTTGGCAAGTCGAGTAACATGAGTCGCCAGCACCTTCACGCAAGATAACTACCCTAAAACCTTAAAAATTCCCGCCTTTTCGAAATTATACACAAAAATACTTAAACGTAATAAATCTCATTTACATTTATGCAATATGGATTAACCGGTGTCTGTAATGCACCGCCAGAAGTAAGCAAGAAGTCTCAATAATGGTCTAAACATGAGACGCCGTTAATAATGAATAATACTTTTGGTAGAGAATATATCTAATTGTCATGAATAGTTTAGTTTAGACTAAGGCCGTCGAGTCGGACGCTAGTAGGCGGGTGGGGCCAGCATGCCGCTGGCGTGGACGGAGTGCTCTGTGGCGTCCGGTTCGGCGGTCGACGGTGCGCTCTCACCTGCGTCGCGCCCCTCTTGGTTCAAATACGCGGAAGCATCGTCTCCCACCATGCCCTCGTCGCCTTCATAAGGCCCTTGGGTTGGCTCCTCCTTTTCTTGTTCCTGGTCGTGGCTTCGAGCGTCGGACGCACGCGAGTAGTGTGAGTCTATCTGCGGCGAGGACTTGTTCAGAGCTCCGGTTTTGAGGTGTGGTGAACGGAGGCCGTCAAGGGACGAGGGCTGCAGCTTGTCGAAGAGAACGCTGATGTTGAAGTGTGTTGGAAGGTGCTCGGAGCGCGGCGGCGGCGGTGATGAGGAGGTGAGTGGGTGCGCCGTCGTTGTTGTCGTCAGGGACAGCGGTTTTCTATGGGACAAACGAGCAAACAACCCTCATGTTAGAGAGTAGCTTGCATACTGCCATAACATCACCCTCTACAAGGATGATGTTAAACAGATTTGTTTAGAATTGAGATGATACGAATAAACATTATCACTTTGGTTAGAGATACCAAGCAAAGCCCCCTTCACCCACCCACCAAATGTATGTAAATTTGATAATCCCACGAATCGTATTGTATCTTAATCAACTTAATCAACGAAATTATTATAACTAATTATATTACTAAGCTAACTGCTTTTGGGTGTAGGGATCTTGTTTGGTGGTTGGGTTAACACAGAGGCCTAATCCCGCGGACGCGCGCGCTTCGGACACCATTAACGGGACCAGTACTTATACAAATCTACATCTGAAATGTTAGAACACCAACTACTTCGTGTTTAATCGATATCTAGTAACTACTGACCCATGTTAACAGAGAATGTCGTCCTGATGACATTTTCGTTAAAAGCTGTGCATAGAGTAAGTATTGTGCGATGTGAGGGGAGAACGCGCGGCTGGTCGGGGAGCGGGCCTCCGGAGACGGCTGGCATCTCACCTGGCATTACCCCTGCGCCGACGACACGGGGATGGAGCCGTAGTTGTAGTAATAGCAGCGGGTCTGTTCGCAGATGAAGTCCTTGATCTCTCCGCAGTGCTGGGGCTCCCAGTGGAAGTCGGGCTGCTTGAGGGCCACGCAACCGTTTGCCATCACGTGCTCGGTCCTGGAATACCTATAACGTTTGAATACTGTTTTATGCACACAAACCAGTGAACGTTAAAATAAACTATTTCTGGACAAATTAACTTAGCGTACTGTAGAAAAAGAAAGAAATATAAAAGGAAATATTAATGGTATACATGATGTACACTCGAACGTTATTAAATTAATAGTTTATAATATAAGGGTATCATGAAAATAACCCGACGTGATTGACTTCTTAAGAAGGATATGCGCAGTAGAACAAGAGTAAACTGAAGTGGTAATGAGCCGGCCATATAGTTACAAGAACCAACAACTATTGGGGAAGTAAGGGTGCGTACAGATCAAGTAACATGTTGTGTAACTTTTGTTTTGTAACACGTCCACATTATGTGACATTGTTTTTCAACATTGTAACATATAATAATACTGTACACATTAGAATAACAATGCATTATAACAATGTTATATGACATTGCAGATTGTCGTTCTGCAGTGCTATTCAAAATGTAGACACAAGAGGACGTTTTGCTAGCTGCTGCAGCAACTCTTGTACTTTTAAATAACAAAAGAAAAAAACATAGATACTGGGTTCGTCCTAGTTTATTGACTAGAGAAAAATACTCTCTAGTTATATAACATTCATGTCACGTTATATAACACGTTTTATTCAGTCTCCACATTACTGAATCATATTATATAACAATGTTTTATAACATGATATGTTATATAATATGTACGCACCGTAAAATTACGCGAGGGGCAGCCTCATACTGGCAAGTGAAATGTAAACGACCCCGCTATAGATGGAATGACGTACTGGTACAGAAAGTTGATGGATGCAATTGGCTCAAAACTGATTCGTAGCACTCCTTGGGGGAGGCCTATGTTCAGAAGTGGACTATAGTAACGATGATGATGATAATGATAACTCTATGTTGTATTACTTTAATCGATTATCGATTTCTGCATATTATGTTGTCTTACACTTTCATGCAGGTATTTAGCTTCATGCAGACATAAAGTCCTGCTCTACGTAAAATAGTTCCAATTTATTACAAAAATTAGCTAGGTTTAAAACACATACCCGTGTCTGGCAGTACGCTGAGGGGCGGTGCTACCCTGAGGCAAGTCAACAGGGTCCATACTGTCGTCAGAGTGCTGGTAGGGTGTCACATTGCTTACTCGTCGCATATAGTTAAAGGTTGCGTTGAAGGGCAGCCCCGTGCTCATCCACAGATACATGTCTGTGCCGAGGTTGTTTCCAGACGTCCAGAAGTCGTACTTATTGTATCCTGGAAATAATCGTGACCGTTGTAATTTTACTTATATCCTAATATGTTTCGGACGTTCCACATAGAGCTTAAGAGGAAGAATACGCCACCTTTTTTCTCCAAATAAATGAGGGCTTAAAATAATTTGTTGGAGCTTTTGGTGACCTTGTACTGCTAGAACAATGGTAATAAGTATTACGAGTGTGAGGGTGTTGGTCTACACTTACTAATCCGCCTGCCTAGTACGGTGAGTATGGCAAAAGACAAGACATGTTGCCTGCCCATTTGGCACATTTTTGGAAAGTCATATTTTTAGTAATATACATATCCCTTCGTCTGTATAGGATTCGTGATAAAAAGCTTTAACGTGATAGAGCTACACCGCAAGCTATATTATGGTTGCAGCATGAATAGGTCGGCTAGACTGGGGAGGGAATAATCTCACAGAATACCTGCGTAAAATAGCAGCTAAGTGCTGCTGTTTCATACGGTGAGTGTAGCGAACCGGAAACACTTTCTGCTGGTAATGACGCAGTCTATCTTAGTCCTCAGGGGTGACAACGCCACGCAACGAATATAGCTATCTATAGGCCACAGCATCCACTTACCATCAGGTGGACTGTGCGTTCGTTTGTCACCCATATTCTGTAAAAAAATACATTTACTTATGAAGTCTACACTTTTATCCAATGCCAACATCACTGCTCGCGTGCACCTGGATGATTATTTTAGGGTTCTGATGATCAAATTTAAAACCTACTCTATATTTATTGATGAAAATTACATTTACTTATGTATTCAAGACTAGCGAATAAAAAACCAAAATCATAGAGACGTAATTAAATGTCTACCGATGAAAACTAGAAATAATCTACATCTTCATGAAAGAGACGGAAAACCAATTTAAATATGCCAAACGCATCGTAAACTACTCGGACCCATGACAGGGAGCGATGTCGTAGAGCGTAAATTTTTGTCGTAACTTTCTTGTCTTCTAAAATTAATGTTGATATTTTCGCTCCAATTTATTATTTTTATATTAAAGATATTGCTTTACCATACCTGCATTTGAGAGATATGTAGTTATAGAATCTGCTTTTTCTTTTGTTTCAAATGAAGCAAGCTGCAGACCCAAAGATCTGAAAACAAAAAATTAAGAGCATAATTTTAACCTATTTTGAATACAATACAATACAAAATTCGTACGTTTCTTCATGTCTTTGTCGAAGTTTAATTAGTGTTAATAATATTTAACATTGCCGTGCTGTGGCGATGTAAGATTTTGGCCCCTTTTGTGCCATAGATGACGTCTCTTACGTCACCTATGGCACAAAAGGAGCCAAAAGAAGAGAAAATGGCCAAAGAGATTTCATTGCTTATGCTAGATGGTGGTTTATAAACCATCTGGTTGATCTCAAACATTAAATATTCGATGACAAGGAGTCAACAACTTAAAATAATAGAACTGCGGTTGCCAACCCGCTAGGCATTCATGGCAACTATGGCAAACAACTCTCCTATAAAACAGTCCATGTGGGATACCTATGTTCACCAGTGGATAGGATATGAATAACCACGTATAGTAGCTTCAAAAATTAAAACATCCTGCCTACAGCGGGGGACTTTCAGGGACTGATAAAGTAGATTTAATACAGTAATGGTTCAAAATTAAAGTTTATATTATTTATTTTATTGACTATAATGACTCAGCCGCCCGAGTTGCCTCGGAGTACGGGCTGGACTGAAAACCAATGCTATCACTGAGTCCCGTCCTTTTCGCAGTTTCATGCTGCAGCACAGGGTATTTTCTATGTATATTTTTTAATTAATAATATTTGTCAATTGTATTTAATTTAGTTTTATTTGTCTTTTTGCATATAATTACTTTTTGCTTGTTGTGCAGCACGTTTAAACAGGAAAACTCACATTTATTTCTTTCTTTCTATATTCACAGTGTGTATATTGCTTTAATGCTAAAAAAGAAAATAGCGAAATCTGGACCCGATAGGTGGCGCTCTGGTCGAATTATTAATAAATTTTATGATTACACTAGCTGTTCCCCGCGACCTCGCCCGCGTGTAATGTAGGGTTTTAATTATGTTGTGCGGAACCCTAATTATTTTTCAACAATATAAGTAGCCTAAGTTACTCCTAATAAATCAGCTATCTGCCAGTGAAAGTCCCGTCGAAATCGGTCCAGCCGTTTCGGAGATTAGCCGGAACAAACAGATAGACAGAGAGACAAAATTTTAAAAATTGTGTTTTTGTTATAAGTACCGTATATACTTTTATATGCATTTAGTAAAAAGCTGTTATTTTGACATTACAACAGACACTTCCAATTTATTTATTTGTATAGATATAGATGTATAGATATAGATTGTAAAAATTTTAGGGAGTAAAATATTATAAGGCATGGAACACTAATAATGTCAAAAAGATACAAGACATAAAACGTTTAATTAACTATATATAAACTACGATTACATACACTATGAAACTGTTACATTTACTATTTCTATAGGATCTACGTTTGATAGTGAATAAAAATAATTTGAATAGAGATAATGAGTGTAAATTACCCTATTACTTAGTAGAATTTTTAAATTGGTAAATAAAACGCGAATTTAAAAAAAGAAAAGCGTCGGACGCGCCAAAAAAAAATCAATTTAAAAAAAAAACTTTTGATTGTTTTTTAATAATGTAGAAAAGTAACAAAACTACCATTTATTTGTTATATGCCGTACTTCTTAATGCATCAAGTACTTATATATTAAACAGTATTCCTTATAAATAACTATCAATACATTCAATAAAATCATTGACTGTAAAATCTACGTGGGATCTAGAATGGCCTATACATATATTATAATAAAACCCGACTCGCTAGTGTGACAGGAGGCACTTATAAACTAGTCCCGCGGATCGAAATACGCGATTTAGCTAAATAACTATTCCGGCTAATCGCATACAGCTATATAGCGGAGGCTAAAAACCCCGCGAAGCCTGTTTATCGCGGAGCAATTTATCCGCTAAGTACATGCTCCACAGCCTTGCAACAGCCAGGACTACATTCCAAAGAAGAGTAAAGACCTATGTGAAATTAAAAACCCTTTGGAAGTCCCGTATCGGTTATGTTATCAGTGCATTTTTATGGATAAATGAAAATTATTATTTTAAAACTATTTTAAATAACATTCCACGTTTCAAGCCATTCGCAGCAACCACGGTGTCGAGAAACATCCTCCCAAAACTAGTTTTATGGGCAGTATTCGCGTAAATATTAAGTTGTAAAGTTAATTTCCCTAAATCTCTATTGCTTCAAAGTTTGCCCTTTCCAATGGCTAATGCAGAAATATTTGTTCATTTGTAGTGGTTATAAAAATAATTTAAATGCGAAGTCTACTAAAATTATCACCAAGTTACCTTCGAAATATTACAGGGTACATTGCAGTTTATTCCGAAAAAACTATATTTGATTTCTGCATCACTACATTTGATTTTTATAAGCTGTAATGTAAAATCACTATTGGCACTATAATTAAATGTAACCTCATTATTTAAACTAAAAGATTCTTGAACTTATTAAAATGGTATTCACGCTTATGAACTACTTACGCCGAATTGAAACGTCATAAAGTTTACTCGACTTGAATTTAAAGTACTTGCAGTTCCCATCGACGTATCTCACGTACATTAACATATTTTTGCACCATAACTGTTTTGACTTGTTTTTTTGTTCCGTTGCATCAATATTCCCACATCGTTAGCCATTACAGTTTTTATGAACATGCTTTAATTTCCGTAAAATGTTGCACAGAGAGGCACCTTTATTTATTCGTTAATTCTAATGATAAATATGTTGAAACCTGCTCTAAGCGTACCAAATGTCCACTGTTGAACATGAGCCTCCCACACAGATTGATCATAAGGGGGACATTTGCCTACGTACGAACTCCTAGTTGCTACTACGCTTGGCAGGAAGGTTATCAACCGCGGTTTTTTTATTATTTCAGCTCTTAACAGAAATATGCGCCTGCCTATCTCCTGTCTCAGTTTCCCTCAGTCGCGTCTTACGACACTTACATCGCCATTACACGTTCATTTACGGTTTCATGGTTATTATACACATATATTGCTTTATAGTCACGCATATACTCGTCAGAATATACCAAGTATTTAGGAAATATGCAAAGGTTTTCTTCGAATTAAAGAATGATATATTTGCAGAAAATCAGTGTTAAGCAGCATCATAATACTACGTAAGTACGCATTTGATGCTCCAAACAGCATTTACTAACCATCAGGTGGACAGTGTTCGTTTTTCATCCTTACTTCTATAAAAAAAACATTTCACTTTATTTTTTGAAAGACAAAGCTCGCCTGACAAACTATTATGGCAGAAAATCTGTTCAAATACGCCCAACCCAAATTTAACAGATTGGTTATAGGCGGCAATATTACCAAAACATTGGAATAGCCCACGAACTCTCCCACCTATCGTCTTAAATACAAAAATATGTTGAAAGTAATAAATAATAGTTGGCGCATTCTTGAAGAGGCCAATATCCACCAGGTGACTAAGAAAGGACTGTTATATATATGTTATAATGATGATAATGAAGATAATAATGATGAATGATAATCGTATATGTTCCTTACATATGTGTATGTACGTTAACGATTCATAACAGTTGAATGCGATAATAATGACCAATAAGTATTCGCGAATGGTACTCCTCTTTACCGTTAACCTCTTTTTGTCGTCACCGAAAGCATCAGTGACAACGGGTAGCGATCAATTGGAACATTATTCACGGCCCGGCACTTCTGACTGTGCGACGACACGTCGTTATAAAGAACTCGTCGTATCCCATCCGTGTCCGCTTGTTACGTCTATTTGCCAAACGACAAATACACGTATTGTATTATATAATACATAAATTTTGCATGATCTCAAATCGAGGTTTAATCTACTTTTATATAATCTTATATATTTTAAACTGTATTAAAATATCGCTCAATGAAATACAAAGTGAGCATTTTGATATCAAGTACGGCCGATCGCAGTGGAGCATTCGTTAACAATTGAAACTGTTAATATGTAGGTCGTGACAACACTATGATCGTAAGACATCGTGACCGAGCGGAGGCGATTGACCTTTGAAATCTCTTAAGTATCCATCTGACAAAGGCATAATCGCGAAATAAATATAACATAATAATAAATTACAGGGAATATGTGACATGAACCCATAATTCTCTCATTCCCACATGAAAGAATGTGACAATAATAGCGGGAGTAATAATTTACGATTACTCGCATTCCATTCATGGGTTTATACCTATTACTAAGCCCATATACCTTGGTCGCAATTCCGTGGGAACAGGACGCCAATAAAACCACGAAGTGTGCGTTAAACAGTACGAACGGCTCGCGGAAGTAGTTCACCGAGGTGCCGATATTGTTCTCGAGTATTCCCAGAACCAATAACGGTAACGTAAATGTCCCCGCACTTCCTGGTCGCGACTCGCGAACCATCGAAGCGGATCCCGGCAGCGTTTTTAACATACAACTCGGCTTGGTTAGGGTAAGATATAAACAGGATCACTATTACGATAACTTGGAAAAGAGTAGGTAGCAAGTCACGACGTAACTATTATATCAAGACAAAACACGGCTCGTAGGAAAAACGATACGATCTACTACTACACTAGACATGGTGCGTTTTGTTTCTGTTATAAAATGACCTCTTTGTACATAAACAAGCCTTAAGCCTTATAATGATATTATGCTTACCTGCAATACTGGTACGCTAGGAAATAGTTGAGCTCCGGGCTGTAAGGGTTCATCCTAGATATGAAATATTGTACGCCATCCAGTTGTATCGTTGTTATCCTTTGAGCTGAAACAATAAAAAAGAACAGTTCATTTGCTGTGTTTATTACACATTACTCGAATGATTAACATAATTATATTTAAACCGCAAAGGAAATTCTGGTCGTTACCGCAGCCTGATCGTTGTAATTTGTTTTGCGTCTGAAGCTCAAAATTACAGTGTGGACCACCACTATCCTGTGATTATCTTTCATTAAAGGTACACACACTGACAACATTAGTCATAATCTAATTTAAGCATACTCGTAAAATATATTACTGGATGTAACAGCACAGTTTAAAGATAGTCTACTCTCTTAAACCACAGGGTAACAGTTATAATTATTAAAGTGTGTAGTAATTAATGTGAAACGCAAATATTGATTACATATTTTGATGCTTTAAACTTTAAAAGGGCAACTACTTTAAAAGGATTACCAATCATATTTTTCCTCGCTGTTGAAGTACAAAGTAATCTAGAAAGTAAGGCAACACCGTGTGTATTGTCTCATTTTAGTCACAACACAGATAGCGTCCTATTTTTAAAATTTGTTGAATAAATATTCAACAAATTTTTCTATTTTCAATATTTACGGTTGCTTTTTTTTCTTTTTAATAATGAGACTATTTGGACGTATTTGTCTTAAAATAAAATAATTAACAAACGCCACCAAGCATTTCTTCAAGTAATTCAAAATATGTACTTAAAATACATATTAAAGGAAAAGCAAAACCTTAATCTCCACAAACATAGAAATCAATAAATCAATCAATTAATGTTCCGTTAAATGCTTAACTTGTTTAATCTAGTTGATTGCGGTATTTATTTTTAGTTCTGGTAACAATAATAGTGAAATATACGTGCTTGAAATGGTTCTATAAATACATTTTAATGGACCATACATACCCATACGATGATCTTAAAAACACTCCTACCCTTTTTACTACAAGAAAGAAATCCCTTTAGTAGAATATTAAAATCTTAAACTTCATCTCTACATCATTTAGATAACTGCATATTATAGCGGTATCGAATTTTAAACCATTGTTTAGCCTCATAAACTAAAAAGTAATAGAGTTTAGCCTCTTTTACTACCTACTTAAAATATTGACGAGAGTATATTTACCCCAACAAGCGGTTCAACAATAGACAGAATTGCATAAACTGGACCGTTTATTTTCACGTACTTACATAAAAGTACTTAATAACAATTACTAAAAAAAGAAGGATTCAAAATTTTTTGAATTATAGCACAAAATAAATAAGTTATAGTTAAAATCAGATTATATTATGAAGAGCAGAACTATAGAATAAGCCTAATTGATAACTAATATCTGTAATAACATTGTTTGTTTATGTTACTATTATTTAAATATCATTTTAAATTTTCCCTAATTTTTGAAGTTTTGGAACAATAGCTCCCTAGTGACATTTGATAATTGCATTTCCTGGCGAACTGTTGTATGAAGACGTCGAAAGTTCGTACATATATATTCATGAATGAAATGTAGCCCTTTTTATTTTGTGTCACAGTATCTCCTACAGCATCGTAAAATTAGCACGTTCACTTCAATACCGTCGCATAAAAACGTATCATAAACGTGTAATGCATGCGAGATGCTCTTGCGGTCGAACTCCCCATATTACGTGCCTAATTAAATTCAATGTTCAGAGCTTGTTACGGTCAACCGCAGACCGCATTATTCAATAATTAAATAATACCTTGAAACTGATACGGACATGTAAGAATCAATTTCTAATACCACTGTGTATAAGAGTTAGTTTATTTTTATTTACCGGTAATGCGAAGCTACAGAGCCTGGTCTAAGACTGCGGCAAGTACTACTGGTTCCCGGTCCCTTACGGTCATTACACCTAGGCCAAGGTACATTGTCACTTGTACCGAGAAACAGAAATGAGAAAACTCGGAACATCTAAGATTTCTGAATTAACATAGATTCAGTGAGTAGTATCTTTTATCAAAATTATGTAATATTAAAGAAAATGAAAATATGTATCTAATGAGATACGTACGTAATTTTTTTGCTCATTCAAAACAAAAAATAAACTTTTATCTAGTCTGCTTTTAAACAGTATAGTTTTTGTATTAACAATAAACGCGGCAAAAACAACAACGCATCGACAGTCTTCGTGTAGACTTGAAAAAATGAGCTTATTGCGGAGAAGCGAGCGGAGTGTCGTCAACATCTCAGTCTCGCAGCAATAAAAGTGCAATGGAATGAACAATTTTCCACGGTTCTACGCGGAGGTCTACGAACTCGAGTTAGATCGATTAATAATAGTCACGTAGGCAATTAATAAAATGTTACAAAACTAAAAAATAGTAAAAATTTAAGTAATTAGAAAATTTTGTTACTGCACGTTACAACGTATTTCTCCATCCATGCCACGGTTAACAGGCAGAGAACGCCGTGTATATTAAATTGGTCCTTTAGAAACATTACCTTAAGGTAAATACATTTTAAATAAATAAATATATAAGTACTCGTACTGATCGAGTATTTGAGCTTATTTTCACCTTCGTTCACAAAGCTTTTAGCATCATAAGTTATAAGCAATGCATGCACATGAACAATGTAACATTTCTTGAATATATGCTCCGTATTTCAATTTTATGTGACATTTCATCCGACGACGCAGAGTCATATTTTGTTTTGTTTCTTAATAATCGTAGATACGTGTATGATTTAGATACGTAGATATGGAAACAAACATTTTTGCCGCTTGTTATTTTTATTTTTATCGATTTTTATCGATTTTTCTTATTTCTTTCGGATTTTAATTTATCAAATTGTTTCAAACATATTTTGAATACTCTAATATAGCTGATAACATTAAACGTTTAAAAGTTGGAGCTTTTAGCTATAAATTTGTTAGGAGGTTTTTTAGTGACAAGAAAGATTTTCAGAGCCTGCTTAACATCAGAACAAAATGAAAAGATGATGTTACTTCTACGGTGTAAAGACGTGAACAAATTGAAATTACTCAGAACGATGAAAAAAATTATTACACTTTTGTACGTGGTAGAGCCATGTTGCAACAATATTACAGTATAGTTGTAGCACGAATGGGTCGGCTCGACCAGGGAAGGACCACGCTCTCACAGAATACCAGCGTCAAATAGCAGCTCAACACTGCTGTGTTTCGTATGGTGAGTGTAGAGAACCGGAGACCCTTTTTACTGGAAACGAGGCATTCCATCTTAGTCCTCACGGGTGGCAACGCATCTGCGTTTTGATTCGCAAACGAGGATAAATAGCCATATCAGCTTGTCAGGTAGCAACAAATAGTTACTTAGAAAAATGGTTTGAACTTTACCAATATTACATATTTTTAAGTTTGTTTGAATAAAACAATAATTACATTTAAATACATATTATGTTACATTTTTTTTTATAGGATAAGGGTGACAAACGAGCGTACAGTCCACCTGATGGTAAGTGGTTGCTGCGGCCCATAGACATGTACATCTATCCTCGTTTGCGAATCAAGATGCAGATGCGTTGTCACCCGTGAGGACTAAGATGGAATGCCTCATTTCCAGTAAAAAGGGCCTCCGGCCACCTGCACTCACCAAGCGAAACGCAGAGGTAAACCTCTACTTCACGCTGGTATTCTGTGAGGTCGTGGTACCACCCCGGTTCGAGCCGGCCCATCCGTACGACAGCAAAAGCTGCCGCGTGGCTCTACCACTGTTAAAATAAAACATAAAAAAACATAAAATAGTTATCAAATAGAAACATATTTATCATAATAAAATTAGCATTTTATTGTTTTAAAATGACTTGCATTTCATGTCAACGTTCGTTAATTGCACGTCATTTGAACAGAATAAAGCGTCGATAAACTTTGATGGTCTTGCCTCCGCAACAACAAGCTGTCAGTCGCATTCAGCTGAATAAATATGAAATTACGAAGAGATATGGACATAAAGGGGATCGTTAGGGACTTTTAGAAAGTGGTTGGTTGCGGGGAGCGGGAAGTGCCGGGAGGCGGGTCACGTATTGGTTTGCGCGCGCGTCGAATACTAATGCGTGATGCGACGTTGACATAGCGGCAGTAAATGAATTGAGGACATTCATACACATTTAAACGAAAGTTAAACAATTTAAAATTTGTTTATTCCTTATTATTATTAGTTTTTATAGTACAAGTATTATACTTGCGCAAAAAATTAATAATCGATATAAAAACTAATGCAAGAAAACATTCCAGTGCTAGCTAGATATAGCACTTCCCTTCTATGGTGCTATAGGTCTAGCAATGAACTGTAGAATAACATGCCCATAATAGAGAAGATAAAAAGTAAATTAAAGACATTTGAAAACAAGAATATAAATTAAGTATACTATAAATCACCGCGACTGTTAAGGCAAGGCGTACTGAATCAAGTGCAGTGAACGCAAGGGGCAGGCGCTGCGGGGATATCCGGTTGGCTCATCACCGGACGCGCCAACCTGTGCTAACGGACCACTGGTCAAGAGCCATCGGCCAGTAACAAGGAGCGATATGAAAAATATTTTTTATGATTTAACATATTAAAATGTATTTTATTTTTATTATAACACCGATAATCATGCTCTCATTGTTTTACGTAAACTAACAATAATTTAGATGGACCAATTTAAATAATAATTGGAAAATGAAATAAAAATTTTCAATTTTGTTATTTATAATAAAAAGGGAGAGAATTTTTTATTATATTAATCGTATTATATGACAGTATGTAGCTATTATTTAAATTAATTGTAAAATCATGTGGAAATAAAGGTCTTATTGTCTTATTTTAACTTCTTTTAAAAGAGCTCAGATAACCAAAGAAATATAGGTAGAACATTTCACGTGAAGCTGCACCATGCTTAATTTCTTGACACACACTAACGCACACGTACTTCTTCTTTCTTTCTTTATCAGCCCGTGAACGTCCACGAACACAATATTACGAGTATACACCGAAAACCATGTTTGTTGCAAATGATTTTAAATGAAGTGCGTATTCTTACGTT